CAGGAAATCATGTTTTAATAAAAAAAAGTTGTTCTATTTTCTGTGTTTTCAGTTGCGCTGGACTTTTCTTCCGGAGTGTCTAATTTTCTGTTGGTTCAGTGTACTCTTGTCTGTATTGCATTTTTCCATTTACATCTTGTTTATCGCTTACATGGCTAAACTTAACACAATGGAAATTTTCCTTTACCTCCTGGACATATAGCAAGCACTCATGCCAACTGTTCTAATGTCCTTATATTCTAATCTTAACATCTGTATCTTTCTAAGTCATTTAAAATATTTATCTCTATTTTATGGGCATGAGTGTTGTGCTTGCACACATGTCTGTGTATCATGTAGTGCCCCAAGATTTCAGAAGAGGACATCATCCCCTTGGTACTGGAGTTACAGACATTTGTGAGCGATCACATGGGTGCTGGGAACAGAATCTGGGTCCTCTGAGAAACTGGGCCAGCTCACAGACCCCTCTGGGTCAGTTTTTATTCATCGATTTTTCTTTTCATCATGAGTTCTATTCTTCTAGTTATTTCTGTGTGTGGAAATTATGGATTAGACAGTGGACATTGTGAATGTTATCTTGGTAGATGCTTGTGCTTGGATTTGTTTGTCCTCCAGAATCTGGATATGCTAGTAATTCTATAGATGTGTGTGCTATCTATTCCGGGATACAATAGAGTGTTTTAGCCAGTCAGTAGCAGCTCAAGCCTTTAATCCCAGCACTTGTGAGAAGAGGCAGGTGTAACTCTGTGAGCCTGGTCTATGGAGCTAGTTCCAGGACAGTCAAAGCTACACACACACACACACAAAAAAACCTGTCTCAAAAAACAAAACAAGCAAACAGAATCAGCTTATTTTAGGTCTTCCTTTTGACATGTGTCAGGATCAGATCATCATTTCATTTAGGGATAACAATGCCCAATAATGGAATGCCAATTATGGAAGAGTCTTTTTAGTGTCCTGTGTTTTACCATGTTTTCTAGTCTGTCTGGTGAAAACAGGCTAACTCCTAGATGCATGCAAGTGTTTGATTCTTTACTTCTCTCAGACTGACCTTCCTGGGATAGTTTCCCCACATGTACATGTTGATCATCCACACACTAAAGTGACTTCCTAGATCACCTGCATCCTTCCTCTTTGAACACACACTGGAGAAATGGCTGAGCCATTAAAGGGTAGGCTCACAACCTCTTTGGAACACTCTTCTGCAAACACTATTTTGAGAACTGTTGCTACTTTCATCTCTGTAACTCCTCGATTCAAAGATCTGCCAAGCTCAACCTGTTTTCCCAGTCTCCTGTGTCACAGCCTGTAGACTTTCAAGAGACTAAGCTACCCACTCACAAGTCCTATCACTGTCACATGTCTTGAAAGCACTGTTGTCTGTTTTTACTCTAGGGGTTTATTGTTCAGATGGAAGAGTAAATCTGGTCATTGTGACTCTACCCTGGTGAAATGCAAAAGTCTTGGACTTTGCATCTAAATGGAGAATGAAGTGTCAACTCACTTCCTCTCTCTACAGCCTCGACATATTACCTAACTTGTCTGAGTCCTGTTTATTTTTAATCTGTAAAACTGTAATGATGATGTCATACAAGTTAAAATACACTTAGAAACAGAATTCAGCACAAAGCCCGATGTACAGCAAGTACTTTAATAATGGGGATTATTTCATTATCTGGATTAGTGATTTGTAATAGACATTCCTTGCAGATGATTCTAGATCTAAAATGTTTACTAATTCAAAATTAAGTTATGCCCTCAATATTTCAGCCATATGTTTATTATGTACAATTAAAAATGACATCATACAAAATAACCTCATCTCTGTCAAACTTTGTATTTTGTGTGCTAGTCTTTTTAATTTCATTGATTGCACATTACAACACATTAGGAATCATTTGAACATTTGAACATTCTACTGGAAAAAGAGTGAGGGTTTTTTGTTGTTGCTGTTCCTTCTAATTTGGAATTTATTATTTCTCTTTGGTTTGTTTGTTTGTTTGTTGAGATAGGGTCTCATTATGTAGTCCTGGGTGGCCTTGAACTCTTCTGTGTAGACCATGCTGGCCTCAAATTCACAGAGATTATCCTGTCTCTGCCTCTCCAGTGCTGGCATTAGATATGAACCACCAACCTGGCAAATTTGTAGCTTATTATTTCTTGAAGTGAAGTTTACTTCTCGGCATTTCACTGTCAATCTGGTTACTCTAGCCAAGGTTTTGTTTATTTTCAAAAGGTCTATGTACTAAAAATGAGGTTATTAGTACACTTCCAAAATGTTTCTAGACTATAATATGTTAATGATAATATAAGAAAATATTTGGTTGGAATTTGTCTGCTATACTAAAAAGTGAGTGTCAACAAGTGGTATGAATTGGTTATATAATTATTCAGCTGCAAGAAGGTTTCTTCATCACAAAATTTTAAATGAATAGTAACACTATAATGTGCACTTGGAATCAATTTTAAAGGTTCATCATGCCCATTAATTAGCTTTCTTTGTATCCAAGCAATACTTAAAAATAAACAAAAAATCATGACAATCAGTAAATAGTTATTTGAGAATATGCCCTCTTTGTTGCATAGCAACTATTGATCCTATTATGTGTTTCTTTTACATACTCTAAAATAATTAAGCACAGGCACAAATTGCTATCTACTTTTTAAAAATGCTAAAAGCATTTAAGTTATTAAGTTTATTCTAATTTGTGCATTATATATTTGTAAAGAGAACATTTCATTCCTACGCAAAGGCACAGTGACCCAAGAAAGAGATGACAATGTCATATTAGTGATTCTCCTTGCTCATGAGAGGACTTTTAGGGAACTTTTTATTCATAGTCTTAATAGCTAACACAGTCAAGACATTCTTATTATCCCCCGGCTTTACTGGCCTGAGCATGAGTTCCTGCTGGTTAAACACTAGCATTTATTAAGAAGTGATGTCCTCTCAACAAAATGAGATACCCATTTATACTACAGGAAATTATACACGCCAAGGGACATCTGTGAGATAAGCATAATGTATTGGAGACACAGCAAGCATTTAGAAGAACTTTTACAATATTACACAGGACTCTTTTCACCATTGGATTAACTTTGTATAAAGCAAGAACACTCTTTTGTTTTGTTTTGGTTTTTTTGTTTGTTTTGTTTTTGTTTTAAATGTCAAATGCTAGCACTGGCTTGATCTCTGAGCATAAGAACTAGAATGAACCATAAAGACCCTTCTCCAACAGGATGAACCTAAAAACCCCAGTGGGGTGAGAGTATGGAGAGCTTGTTAGGGAAAGGCAGGAACATTCATGCCATCAGTCTAAGAGAAAGATCTCAGGGTGGAGAAAATGACTGCCATATCTCTTTCCAGGTTAACTCCACCCCAACAATCTCTGAGTCAAAACTCAGACATTTAGAGAATCTTACAATAAATATCCACAAACTCCTCTCCAGACAGTTGCTTTCATCTCGGGTTCTGTGGCCACAGCAGGTTACTTTTCTAGGCCTTCACCACAGTGCCAAAACTATTCTAACATCTGGTGTTAAAGGACAAGCCTCCTGGCTTGGACTGTCTGGTTGATAGTTTTGGTGGTGCTAGAATGGAATCCAGGGCCCTGAACATGCTAGGAAGATCATCTTTTTGAGTGGTTAAACATTCAAATGATAAGGGTTGGGGAAATGAATAAGGGCAGACTATCCAATTAAGTATCATCAAGACTTAGACATGGGAGCCTTACACAAGAAAGGTTGGATATATGAGGTTAGACTGAGGCACATAGCAACTTCAGCCCATAGTCTCAGATTTTATTCCCATCATGTACAACTATGGTTAACAGTGATTTTCCTGTTGACGCAGGGACTCTTCAGTCCACACTGGCCTCAAATTCATATTCTTCCTGCCTCAGCTTTAATACTGGGGTAACAGGTATAACCTGTTATAAAATACCCAGGTGGTCATTTTATAGTCATAATCTGACCACCGAAGGACAAGGGAGAAGGTAGTGGTTCATGGCTAGTGCTGGTTGAGGATGTCTGAAAACTGGAAATGGAAGTGACAAATTTAGAATCTAGCAGAGCATTAACAGTGCACAAATGGTTTCAATATGCTGGGTGACACAGTGAGGGACTTCAAGAGGAGGGAATGGCTTGAAGGTGGCTGAGGTGACAAATAATAGGAACCAATCCCCAATAAGAATCTGATAGTGACTGAACAAATTACAAGGAGCACAGCCATGCTGCATGAATTTCGGTAGAAAGCTCTAGTTCTACAGAAATTGTAAACTGTAGGAAAACGGTGGACTGGGGGCTGGGTGCAGTTAAAGTTCATGAGTAGTGCTTCGCCTAGCATGTGCAAGGCCTTGGATTCCAAACTTAGCGCCACCCCCAGTTTATTGCAACAAATGATGAAACTAAGGGAGAAGGCCTGTGCTGGGTACACAGCAGGAGGAGAGCAAGGCTTGGGCTCAGAGTGGAAAGAAAGGCTTAGGCTCAGAGTCCAGGGTTTTCCATGGGAGATTTGTGACAGGGCAAGGCTAATCACTAGTCTTTTGTGAGTAGGCTGTGTGTGCTGAGAAAGTGGGGACTAACAGCTTCTAAAGCTTGACTTGTTTTATTTAGATGTATTTAGGTTGTTCATTGCCGAAACCTTGGAAAATATAGCCAAGTCCAAAGGCCATACTGTATATTTTTCATGCTCTGAGAGCAAATAGTTCTTTGTAGTAGAAAGAGAAATGTTTATTCATTTAACCCTACCAGAGCAAACTGGTCAAATTCTCATAACTAATTTTAAATCATTTTCATTCTCTTATCTTAGGAGGAAAGAAGTTAGAATTATTAGAATTTCTATGCTTTAACAATATGATCAAATGCAGTCTGACACTATCTGGAAAAAAGTAAATACTTAAAGATTAAAATTACGGTTTTCTGTATAAGAACCAAGAAATACCCTAACATTACAAGATTTCAAAATCTATTTTTCATTTTCCCTTTTTACTTCCTATCAGATTGTCTAATATTTTGGAAAATGCATATATCTTTATATTTGGAGTGGGAAATTCCAAATGGAATGAAAAGTATTTGGAGAAGCAAAGAAGTCTTTCTGGAATAGTCTTCTGGCAGAAGAACAGAATGTTTCTAAAGCAAACAAGACACGTGCTGATGAGAGCCAGTGTTACCTTCTCCCTCCAGCTATCATCACTCAGCAGCTTCTGTCTCAGGGTTTCCTGCATCTGCTCGATGCTTTTCTGATGGGCAACCAGCATCAATTCCCTGAAAACCACAAACCCAACAGATGAGTCGGGACTCAGCCCTCATGATCCTCCAGATTGCAATTTCTGTCTCAGAGACGATTCTTTCACAACATAATATGCTTGTGCTCTTTAACAACGTAGCTATTGCTTTGGATTGAAATCCCAGAGTCGCCTCTGACTTATCATTTCCCCTGCTTCATCATGGCCATTCAAGAGCAGCTGGCTAGAAGATAAGCCTTAACAATTTCTTTTAAAAACTGAAGTCAAGGGTTGAGGAGGTGCTCAGTAAAGTGCTTGCCATTACAAGCTTGAAGACCTGAGTTCAGAGCCTCAGAGCCCACATGAAGCCAGACATGCTGGCATGTTTCTATAACATCAGAGCTCCTACAGCAAGATGGAAGGCAGATACAAGAATCCCAGAAGCCCAAGAGCCTATTAGCTTGGTGTACACAGGGGTGAATAGAAGATGCTGTCTCAGGCAAGGTAAGTTCAATACCTGAGGTTGTCCTCCATGTGCAACACACACACACACACACACACACACACACACACACAAACCTCCTACCATATACACAAGATTTTTTAAAAAGCCCTAAAGTCATATCAAGTATCTCTTTCAAACATATTGTAATAAAATTAGAAATCAGTAAGAGAATTTTCAATAGTATACAAACAAGTGAATGTTTAATAATTTATTCTTGAACAACCAATGATCAAGGAATAAAAATTTTCTTGACACCAATGAGAGTGGAGACACACATATTAAAACTATGTGATGGGGCAAAACCAGGGTCAAGAGGTAAGTTCACAGAAGCAGAGAAGCTTAAATACACAACTTCTGGCTGCATCTCAAAGAATTAACAAATCAAACCCCAAATTATAAGGAAAGATAATAAATATCAGATTATAAGAAAATGAAATAGATAATAAAGAAGCTTGCTTTCTATTGCTATGATGACCACAACCCAAAGTAACTTGGGGAGTAAAGGGTTGATTTATATTTCCTAATCACAGTCCAGCACTGAACAAAGCCAAGGCAGGAGCTCAAAATGGCAGGAACCTGGAGGCAGGAACTTAAGCAAAGACCATGGAGAAACACTGGTTTGCTCTCTATGGACTGTTCAGTCTACTTTCTTATGTAACCAGTACCTCCTACACATGAGTTGTACCACCCTATACCCATCATTAATCAAGAGAAGGCAAGACTTGATTCAAGATGGCGCTAGTCACCAGCACCCACAGGGCTGTAGGCTGCTCCAAGGAGCCTGAGAGATCCAAGGAGCCATCAAGGGGAGATGAGGTGGTGGAGGATAACCCTGCAGATCCATGCAATATCTCCAGAACAACTAAAACAGGCAGGTCTAATGGGAAGATACTGATGAGTTCAAGTTCAGCCTGGTCTACAATGCCAGTTCCAGGACAACTAGAGCTGTTACATGAGAAACCCTGTCTCAAAACAAACAAACAAACAAACAAACAAAACAAAACCAAAACAACAAGAAAAGGAAAAAGAAAAAAGCAAAGGAGTTTCATGGAATTGTGAAAAAATGGTGGTGAACAGGGCAGCGTGTGTAGTGGAGAGAAGAGGAACTAAAGACACCACAACCATGACAGGTATGGGAGCCCAGCCTCAGAGGACAAAGGAACATGTTGTTGTCGAGTGGGGTCAGTCCTCCAGTTGTCAGGAGGCTCTGGTCACCACCTGGCCCACCTTGCCCAGCATCTGTCATTAGGTCCTTGGGGCTGGCCTGAGGCATTGGGCCACTGCTGCTGCTGGCACTGCCTCTGCTTTTCTTCCTGCTGGGGGCAGAGGAAAGCACGAAGTGAGCAATGGTGCTGCCAGCAGGCTGCAATCATGATGGTCATGCCCAGGGTACTGGCAGAGCTGCTGATGCCGAGGGCAGGGTAGTGTACAGCAGCCTGGAGCTTGAGCAGTACCGCCTCTGAACACACTGCCCAGTTGCACAATCATCTTGACTGAACTACAAGATATCCAAGATGAAGAATGGTTTATTTTCTGGATTAAGCCTTCTACAAAAACCTCTTTAGTCTGTGCTGCCTCTGGAGGCCATGTTGATGTCTGTGGTCTGTGCTGTCACTGGGAACCATGTTGATATCTGTGTTCTGTTGTGCCACCAGGAGCCATGTTGAGGTCCATGGTCTGCGCTGTTGCTGGAGGCCGTGTGGATGTCTGTCCATGCTGTGGCCACAAACCATGTGGAAGCTCATGATCTTCTACTGCCGGCTGCTATGGGCAGGGAAGATGCTTTTGCAATGGTATTGATGACTGCAGACTCATTATTGAAAATGAGAGACATTGAGGACTTTTGTGACAAGCCCCCTCCAAAAAAAGAAGAGAAAGAAGCAGAAGAAAAAAGAGGAGGAGAAGATGAAGAAGAAGGAGAAGGTGGTGAAGAAGGAGGAGGAGGAAGAGGAGGAGGAGGAGGAGGAGGAGGAAAAACAGTCCAGGCTATTAAAAATTGTCATACAGATGCTGAAGTGTAGCTGTCCACAATTAATGACTTCTGGCTGGGGTGGGAGAAGGGAAGGACTCAATTTTCTTTAAGGAGCTGGCCACTGGGAGTTTGGCCACGCTCCAATGAGTATATGGGCAACATAATTGGATATGGTGTATTTTTCTTTTTGGGGAAGGAAGGGGGGACTGAAAGGGTGGAGGTGGGCCTGGGAGGAATGGGAAGGGAGTGTGATTGGGGTGCATTGTATGAAATTCCCAAATAATTAATAAAAATATTATGTTGGAAAAAGAAAAAAGAAAATGCCCCATAGACTTGATTAAAGTCTAATATGACAGAGGCATTGTTTTTCTATTGAAGTTACCAATTGACCTTATCTTGTGTCAAGTTGAAAAAAACCAAACCAGCACAAATACCAAAGAGCAAAATATGAAGGGCTGAGGACTGGAGCTGGCTTGGCAGTTAAAGTGCACACTGCTCACACAGGCACTGCACGGCCTCACACAGAGGCCCTGAGTTGGCGCTTAGCACCCACGTAAGGTGGCTCACAACCACCTGTAACTGCAGCTCCACAGAATTCAGTGTCTACTTCTGCTCCCCCAGAGTGACTTAAGTCTCATAACCCCACCCCATGGACACATAAGAAAAAGGCTTAAAAACTTCAGATATGGACAGATGTAGTAGCATGCTCTTTTAATCCCAGCAGAAGCAAACAGATTCTGTGAGGTTGAGGACTTGTTTACATAGCAAGTTCTAGGACAGCCAGGGATACATAGTGAATCCCTAACTCATAAAGAGAGAAATATGAAAAGAGACATTACAATGGATATCACAGAAATGGATAATTTCTGAAACCCATACACTTTACTACGACTGAACCATGAAGTAGAGGAAAACTGAAGAGATTGATAATAAGTAATGAAACTAAATTAGTGATTAAATAATGGTCTCCCCAAGAAAAGCCCAGGACAAGACAATTGCACTGCTGAGTTCTGTCAAACATTTAAGGAGAACTGATATCAGGGTCTTCTTAAACTATTACACATACACACACACACACACACACACACACACACACAAGAATTGAATATGAGGTAATCTCTCCAAACACATCAATGATGCCAGTCTTATCCTGTTGTTACCCCAACCACACAAGAACATCTCAGTTTTAATAGTTTAATAACCCCGATGAACATAGATATAAAAATCCTCAACATTCATAGAAGTTAAACATATGTAAATCATTTAAATGAAAGGCAAAAACTATTTGATCACCTCGATTCATTAAAAATGCCTTTGATAAAATTAAACATTCAACATTAAACAAATTAGGAATAGAGAGACTATACACATACTTGAACATAATAATGCCAAATATAACAAGCTAACATATAATCTCATACTGCACAGGAAAAAGCTGAAAGCTTCTCTCCTAATATCCAGAACAAGACCATCACTTGTATTCAAGATAGCACTGAAAGCCCCGGGCAGAACAATCAAGCAAGGGAAAGAAATGAAAGCATCTAAATTGGAAAAGAGGATGTCAAATTGTCACTATTTGCATATGACATGGAATTATATAGAGAAAAACTCAGACTCCACCAACACTTATGGGGATTAATATACAAATTTAGCAAAGTATCAGGAAACAAATTGTAAAAGTTAGTGTTGCTAAATACCAATAGCAAATTATCTAAGCTAGAAATCAAGGAAGCTACCCTATTTTTCAATAACTATGAAAATTAAATGCGTGGGAGTACATCTAAACAAAAGGGTGAGAAATCTCTACGATTGGAGACTATATGAAATAGAATGTAAAATTAAAGAAAAACACAATAAATTGAAATACATTCTACATTTATTGATTGAATGAATCAATACTATTAGAGTGTACAGATCACCAAAAGTTGTCTACAGATTCGTTATAATCCCTCTCAAAGACAGTCTTCCGAGAATCAGGGAATACAACTCTAGAAGTTCTCTAGAAGACACATGCATGTGTGCATGTGTTCATGTGTGCATGTGTGCATGTGTGCATGTCTGCATGCACGTGTGTAAATGCACATACACACATGCATACACATACAAAAGCCTTAATAGACAAAAATGTTTAGCAAAGAAAAAAGGCAGAAGGAATTATGCTAAATAATTCCAAAATAAGCTGCAAAGTTGTAGTAACCAAACAGCATGAAACTGATAGAGAGACATAACAACCATTGCAACAGAGCAAGGGCTGTGCACCAGATCCACAGTATAGCCAACTGACTTCTAACAAACACTGATAACACGCAGGGGCAATGGACAGTCACTTAAAATAATGATTGGAAAATTGAGTAGACAGAAGAATAAGATTAGATCCCTTAACTGACCAGTTGAAAGATCCTAAAAATGAATTAAAGGCTCAAACAGTAAGATCTGGAAAAAATGAAACTACTAGAAGAAAATGTAGAGCAAACAATTTAGGACACATGAATGGGCAAGACCTGAAAACCACAGTTAAAAAAAAAAAAAGCAAAATTGACAAATGGGATTATGACAAAGCACAAAAGTTCTGCACAGCAAAGGAAGCAGCCATCAGGGTGAAGAAGCAACATGCATCATGAGTGGCCACACTGGTAAACCACACATCTGATGAGGAGTGAATATCTAGGTATAAGGGGTTCGAATAACAGCAAAAGCCAACCTGATAAAAAAGTGCACAGTAAACATATTTGAAAAGAAGACAGACAAGTGCCTCAACAGGTGTGTGCAAGATATTCAGTCCCACTAGTTACCAGGAGATGCAAATCAAAGCGGATGTGAGCTATTTCTGTATCCCAGTAAGGATGGCTATTACAGAATGAGAAATGCTGTGATACAGAGAAAAGGGAGTCCTTTCTCACTGGTGTTAGGAATGTAAATTAGTGTAGCCATTTTGGAGAACAAGATGGAAGGTCCTTAAAAAAAACACCTAAAAATAGAACCACCATATGGTCCAGCAATCTCACTTCTGGGTTTATATCCAAGGGAGGGGGATCGGTATGTCAAAGAGACATCTGCACTCCCATGTGCACTGCAGCAATAGCCAAGAAAAGGAAAGAAGCTAGTGCTCATCAAGGGAATACAGAAAGCTTGGCAATAAAACACAATGGAATACTATGTGGCAATTACAAAGAGTGAATTCCAGCCATCTGCAACAAGGGGCTTAGAGCTGGAGATCATTGTGTTAAGTGAAATAAGGCAGGCACAGAAATGACAAGAGCTGCATGACCTCATTCGTATGTGGATTATAAAACTTTGGTCTCAGAGTTTGAGGATAGATACTGGTTGCCAAGGTGGGAGAGGCTGGGAGTTGAGAGGGAGGTGCAATATTTGGTCAGTGGTGATGACTGACTACAGTTAGGAGCAAGAGGGTCTGGGGTTCTAATGTTAATTGTGTGCCACATTTCAAAAAGCTGGACAAAAGCATTCTGAAGAGTTTCACAAGAATGTGCTCAATATTTGAGGAAATTGCTGTTTAACCTAGCTAAGAAGGTACAGTAGACTCTCCTCTGAGATCATGGTCTCACTAGCCACATGTAGTTGGCTAGGGTTTCGGTACCAGGTATGATTTCCTTCCTGTTAAGCCAGCTTTCCATTCAATTAGAATGTGATTAGTTACTGAGAACACCCAAGCATAACTAGGGCACCTTTAGGGATAGCTTATCTTGCCAATGTTTGTTATGGCTCATAAGGGCCATAGCTGGGTGGGGCTATGAGTGCTTCCTCCCTTAGCAGTTTGCACTTCACCTTTCAGTACTGTGAAAGCTAGTCCTCATTGAGCAGGCTTTCAGGTCATTGCCAGCTCAGTTCCTCCCAGCCCTATGTCCAAAGTGGGTGGTGTCTTCAGCCAGCTTCTGGGAAACAACCAAGAACAAGGGCAATGGCCTATATTGTTTTGGGGACTCTCTTGGACTCCCCGGCTAACATCTTGAAAGGAGGTTTCTGATGCCTGGTACTGGGAGGTGGGGGTGTTAGATTAGATAATCTATGGCTCTTGGGAAGAGTGTTTTCACCCAAAGTAGTACAACATCATTTAAACTACATGTGTGTGTATTTGCATATCTGTATTGTGTGTGACCTTAGGTAAATATAAAATAATGTTTCCCTACATCTTTTGCAAACATCTTAAGTGTTATTTATCCCTCTTTCCTCCCTACTTCAACTTTCTTAAAGCAAAATATTCCTATCTTCACTCTAAATGCTTATGCTTATGTCCACAGATGATTGTAGCTCTCACCCCTCATCAAAGAAGGTTCTTATGAAGCAGAGAGAGACCATCACACAGAAAACACAATTAGTCAAAATGCAGAGGACAACTGACTGCCTGGTACCTGGACACAACTGATATATCTACAGCACAAGTCCTGCACCCAAGGTTCAGGGAACACCTTAGAAGACAGGAGGACTGTAAGAAGCCTAGACCAGGAAGTCTGCTGTGAGAATGTGCCTTCCAGTTATCAAAGGGAAGCTACACCCATAAATCTCAACAACACGGCTGCTTAAAGGGAACTTGAACAATTAACATCCCAATGCAAATGGGGAGGGGTCTCCTAAGGCCCACCAATAGATGAAGAGCTATAAGCAATTAACAACTGCTGAGAGACGGGGAATCAGTTTTCCCTAGGGATAAGTTCCCTAAATCATTATCCAATACCAAGTGGTCAGCCCTAGAAACATGCATATAGGCAACGCTGACAGACCTAACACGAGGTATTTATGTATTTATTTGTCCATATGTATATGTAATAAGATTGGTTAAAGAGGATGAGGTCAAGAGGGAGGGAGATAGGCCGGAGGAAAGGGGGTGATGTAATTATATTTTAATTAAATCTTTGAAGGCGCAGACTTCAGCAGCAAATTCTCCATAGACTATTACCTCAGCGCCACATGTGACTTCCTTCTGTCCTTTCTAATGCTCAAAGCCCCAT